ATCATACTAATTTCTGTTATTTTGTAAGATTGTTGTTAATGTTCAAAAGGAGTTAAGATGCCTTTAGAAACAAAGGAAATTGTGGATCCTGAAATAAGGGCGATCATCGATACGGATTTTATCGACTCCCCTAATGAAGACTTTATCTTATACGGCGACGAAGAAACATGTTTGCGAAAACATTTTCGTAAATACGAGGAACAAATTGACAACTTCGAATTGCGGGATGAAGATATCATTGTCGCGTCGTTTCCGAAATCAGGTAGGAGCGAAATGGAGAACAACAAAATTACTATAATAGTACTCGCACAGGTACAACCTGGATCCAGGAGATGGTATGGCTAATAAAACACCGCGTAAGTTTAACAGGCTCCGAAATTGACATTTGTGAACGCTTTCCCATGCTAGAGTATGCATTTGTAAGCTTGCCAAACACCCTTCAACCTTTTACTTGCAGAATGTGCTCGCTGATGGAGTCTCGGAATGCTGAAGAGTATGTAGAGAAGCACTTTATCAAATCACTTCAATACATTGACGAACAAAAGGGACAAAGATTTATTAAAACACACTTACCCCTCTGCCTACTCCCCAAACAACTTAAGAATGGCACAAAGCAGCCCAAGGTACCTACTTCAAGATCGGTGACCAACCTCATCTAATTGTATTTTCCAGGTGATATACGCAATTAGAAACCCCAAAGATGTTTTCACGTCATATTATCACCATGGTCATGTGATGCACGGTTGGAAACCGAACATGGAGGACTTCGCAAAGGTTTACTTGGGCGATAAAGGTTGTAGCAGGTATAAGTTACAAGGTGTGAAAATAATGCTCGGTTTTCAGTACTATTTGGACCGTATTGGAAACACGTGTTCGGATTTTATAACATGAGACATTTGCCAAACTTTTTAATAATCAAATACGAAGACATGAAAAAGGACATTACAGGGGTAATCGAAAAGGTTTGCCATTTTTTGGGCGAAGATCCGTTAACGGAGGAGCAGTTGGAGTTGTTGCGCGAACGAATTGACTTTAAGTTTATGAAGAATAATCGGGCGGTGAACTACAAACGTTTTGTTGAAGCCGGCAGAAAGAATAATCCCGACGTGACGGATTTTATGAGGTCGGGTACCGTCGGAAATTACAGAGAAGAAATGAGTGACGAGTTGATTTCAAAATTTGACGAGTGGATAAAGCGAAATATATCGAATACTGATTTTGATGAAGACTATGCTTATGGTCGTTCTACATAGAATCGAGATGATTTTGTCCACGACTCAAAAATTTCTTCATGTATGCCACGTGTTAGTGAGTAATTAAGTCTTCCGAATTATAAGTAAAACAGAAAGAATGAGACCTCTATTACTCGTATGTTAGTATGCAGGATATGCTGACTGGCTGAATACATCAATATTGTTTTACTACCTTTGCAGTGTACTTCCTGGTAGGCAAACAATTCCTTATTATTCTGTTTTTCCTTGATATTATTGGAGATTATATTTCCTTAATGCTAGCGGTCGCTTTACATCGATTAACATCTCGGGCCCACAGCAGAAAAGCAGATCGTTTTTGGGGGTATACGTGTCTCCATGTTTCGGTTTCCAACTCGATTTCCGTTTCCTTTGGTGGTGGCTTGTTTGACCAAATTTCCCAAAAATCCCTAGGTTCTGAGTAGTCCGGTCCCGCGGTTGGAAAGGGTGTACCATATTTACGCGTACTTGTTCTTATTAACGGTTGCGCCATTCTGTGGTTCAATCTCGAGTTCAATCGTAGACAGCGTATGCAGCTCCTGCCTTCCCGGGGGATCAGATTGTTTGCTCGCAGTATCGAGTATTTCCGTCTCACCAATGGGAATGTCAGTTGGTTCCCGCCTTGAAAGGATGTGGCTTGGGCATCCTTTACGATTAGTGTGGCCAAATGCCTTTTTGGAGCATTTATTAGGGGATGTTTTTTTGTGTCGACATGCACGCGGCATTCGTTAATCTGTCCGCTTACTTTTAGTAGTCTCATTTCATCCAGGAAGAGACTGAGTGTCTTGAGGTTGAGGGTTTGTTTCTGTTAACAGTTTGGCCACCAGTACTATTGCTCTACCCAGCTCCACCCGCGGTAGGGGCCACCTTAGATTTTGCCGTTACCTTACTTGGAGGTTTTTATTTGCCATTTTCCGCACAGATTTTCTTGTAGTTTTGTACCAGTTACCGTCATCTCGTTCTGGCTTTTTCCTAAATTTGAACTTGGGATGCGTCTTGGGTTTGAACTTCTTTAGTGTCCCAGAATATTGTCAGAGCGAACTCGTCCGTGATGCGCATGGGTACTCCTTCCCTGGCGACTTCGTTGGCCTTGAACCCACCCAACTTACTTTTGGCTTCTTCTTTGGCTCGTAGATATACGAAAGTACAGCGAAACAGCTATTTTTCTCTCTTGGCTCTTTTTCACAAACCGCTATAAGGATTTGCTGAACTGTGCCCTTTGCAGTTTCGTAAGGGCCTTTAAAATATCAGGTACTTCGCTGCTTCCCATAATATCGTCTTGTGCTTCTACGATGTCGTCCCAGGGCTGAGGAATCTCCGTCTTTTTAAAATTCCAATATTTCTTGGAACGTTCCTCATCCAGTTCGGCCCGTGTGTTCTGGATAAGTTTCATAAGCCAATTAAATCTCATTTGTTGTCTACGGTCGGGGGTGCGTGTGACCCAGGCTAGGTATGGAAGGTCTTTCTTGGCGAATGGGCGTGCATATGTTCCCATCGCTGTTACATTGGACATTAAACCTGGTGCCGCTTGGCTGGTCTCTATTTGAGGTCGAACTGCTCCGTCGTCAGCATCTCTATGTCCATATTTGCTATTTTGGCCACTTGAACTCACTTCAAAATGTAGCACCCTTGTGGATATGCGGCACCAATTCGTTCATCCGGCTCGAAGGACCAAATGTAGCGTTATCTGTAGTAAATCCTAATGCTCACCCAAGCAAACTTACATAAAATAGATTGGGCCAGCGATTAGCTTAGAGATTATATTTCGTTAATGCTGGTGAACGCTTTAAGTATGCCCTAAATAAACAAATGACGTGTAGAGGACCCAAGATACTAAAACGTGCATCGGTGCGAAAAATTGGTAATAATAATCCAAGAAAAATCTTACAAAAAAATTCGAATGCTCCTATGGCTGTGCTAAATGCCAAGAATTAATCCATTTTGTGAATTCATGGCACAATCCAGATAGCAAACAAATTTTACTTATGAGTAGGTAAAGAATTTAACTGGATAATTGCGGTCAACGAAATTTGCGTCATTTTAAACTTTTGGTTTTCAATGCGTCTTTTAATCGTTAGTTGCGCTTCGAAGTCTGCTTGTTAGGTCAAAAGTTGCATCCGTTTTAATGGGTATATAGTATTGCAGTTCTCAGGATTCAACAGGGTGGCGCATTTGCGCAAAACGCTGTAATCGAATGTCTGACAATTTCCTGGAAAGGAATAGAGCGCTGTGTGCGGGTGCACCATCCTGTTGAAACCGACAGTTTCGAACTTTTTGGTGTTCCCGTTATCGTTGTGTTTGTAATAAAAATGCTACTCAATACAGTATGCACTTTTTTACGGGCTGCGTAAAATAATATAAAGTTGATGATGATTTCTCCGAAACGTTGTATTGAAAATCTCTCAACGCTGTCTTGTAGAACTCAAAAAGTGGCACTGAAAAACTGTTTCGTATTTTTTTGTATCTGTTCAAACAACATCAGAAAAAAATAAAAACGACATCGGCAAATTTCTGTTATTCTGGCATACCTTCGGAAGTACGTAATCGGAATTATAGTTAATTGGTTGTTGGGTGTTTACTTTATTGACAGGCAACAAAAAATCACGGAATTCTGTAGTCACGTTTCAGATTGCAGGAGACGTTTTCATTAAAAATTCATCTGAAATAGGTAACATTTTGGAAAAGTTTCGGGTAGTCGACGGGAAAGAGTAATTCATTTTATGTTTCAAGTTCAGAATTTCAAAACTTTGTAGATCGAAGGGAAGTTTCAACCCTTTTTTATGCGATGCCTATTATCAAGTTTCCACACGGATGCCGGGTTATGGTTAGCCAAATATCTAAAGGAAGGCCGCAAACGAAGAGGTGGTCGACAATAACGGAAGTATTATAGCGGAAGCAGAAGCGGAAAGAGAAAACATTTTTTTTGCGGAAGCGGAAGCAGAAGTGTAAATACTATTATAAATTGAATAAAAACTAGAATTATTACGTTTAGTTTATTAAACTGTGCGATAAAACGCACGAATTGTCGCCATGAACTAATGAGCTAAATAAAAGTAAACAACGTAAACGTGACACGTTTGACGGCCGGCTCGGCAGACTAACCCAACCCGCGGCTCATGTCACGCGCCATTCTGTTTGGCCAATCAGAGCGCATAGGGTACCTTGCTATATTTGAAAAATTCCTTACTTCTGTTATAAAACAGCGGAATAGAAGCGGAAGGGGAAGTGAACTGGTTTATTAAAACGGTGTCTGCAGCAATATTACATTACAGAAAAAGTGTGAACTGTGGTCTCTTCTTCTTCGAAGAATCGTTCAACTGCTCAATTTTTCTCTTATGGATGCGTTATATAGTCCATATTTCCGATAGATATTAAGGTGGTTTTTAAGATACGCTCGGGAATTTCAAGAAAACTGCATAAGGAAGCATGATTTATTTTGTTTGGTAGGTACTTGCCAGGAACCAGATGAGCCAATTCTCCAACAACATAATTTGGTTAAGGGTATGCAGATACTCATAAACAATTAAAAAATAAAGTGAAACGTTTTTATGAAAGAAAGTACTTACCTTACACCACAATCTATTAGAAGACTTTCCCTTCTCCTGGAAACTTTTGTGGTATGTCTTGATGTATTTATTCACAAGCTTAGGTTTGGATAAGGGCCAGACTTTATAGTTTTTGGGAGCAGAAATACAGAACCAGTAATATGTAATAGTCCTAATAGGTTACCACATCTAATATGCAAAGAAATCTCTACCAAATGACATTTATTAACTTAAAAAAATGTAGAATAATACTGTTATATGATTCACCGCACTTCTAAAAACGAAATTGCCGATTCCTAAAAACACAGTTCATTTTAGTAAGATTAGAAATTAAATTAGAAGAAATTAAACCTTAGTTCCAAGGAGACACACAACGATTGCGAGCGTCGCGGTACTTTCCTGCATCACAGCGGAGTAATCGAAAGAACCTTATGGCAGATGACAATGGATCAATCGCCCGTCCTTCATCACGACTTGGATGATGGATGCTTGCCTGTATCTCATTGACACCGAGAAGTAAAACGAAAAGAACGCACGCAATTTGACACAGTCTCATTATGTTAAGTAACGGTTTGGAAGTAGTACTGGATTTATATAATAAGTACCTACGCATCCAACGGATGTGGTAGTTCTAAATTTGGATGGAAATTGGTAAACCCGTTTGTCGAGAAGCGTACACGTGTCTGTTGAAGGCGTTTATCTTTTAGTTAAATTTCGTATTTAAAACCACAGGGAAATCTCTGTCCCTTAGATCTTGTCATATCTCAGGTAACGATTCGGGGAAATACTATTGGAAACCTGAGTTCCAAAAATATTGGCTATATACGAAATTAAACAAAGAAGATTGATAATGAGGTCTGTCCTGAATGTAAATGTTTTTTTTTAATACACCTTACCTCACACAGTGGAGGACACCGTGCGCAACTAGTTTTCATAATTAACTTCACAAAATATAAAAAAAGACGAATAAGTACAGTTTCACTCAGCGTGCTCCAGAAACCAACCCTAAAATGCTCAAGGCGAAATTGTCACGTGTTTTTAAAAATCGGCGTGTTGCTTTAGAAAACCGTCGTACTTTTCTCAACTTTTTCCAAACTATTGGGGGCAAACTAATTTATCTCGTTTATAACCGGCATTATGGACTCACGATTTTGAACGAACTAAATCTCTATATCTCGGCTGAAATGTCATTAACGAATGTCACAAATGTCTAAATTAAAAATGTACCAAAAAAGTGCCAGTTGAAACTTGTGTAGTCCAAAATTTTAAGTGATTCTGAAAAATGTTAAAAAATAATGGGAAATCGAATTAACAGGTATGTCAGAATATTTCTAAAGTAGTATCTTTGTGTACAAACATCGTAATGTTTCTTTATTGCTCAAAAATACAAACATATAAAAATAACAAATATTTACATTTCGGTACCATAGTCGTAGGCAGTCAAAGTCGTGGGAGTTCCATAATTAAATTATCTATAAATATAAGAGCGCTGTTTAAGAAATTAATCCATTTCTTAGTGCCCCCATTGAGTAGAGAGTGCTTGCATCTTTTCGGGTCCATCGTCTTTAATTTCGGCGTTCCTCGCGGCAGCTTCGCTATTCCAATTCCCGCTGAGTGGCTTCTTGTCCTTTTCGGATGCTGCACGTGCCGCGGGGTCACTTTGCCAACCTCCGCCAGATCTCATAGACTCCTCAGGGGCACTCCTCGCTTCTTGGTTCCAACCGCCGCTGGGAGCCGCCGGAAGGTGCTCCTTTTTGTCGGCCTCCGAGTTGCGCGCTACCGTTTCCGGCTCCCATCCACCACTCGGCATGATGTTTTGTTGTTCAGCCGCCACCTTTTCAGAGTTCCAACCCCCACTAGCCGCCGATTTTGCTTCCAGACTATTTTCGACTTCTCGGGCTGCCCATCCACCCGACGGTATGATCGGAACGGGTTCGGCACTTCTGGCTGCTGCTTCTTGACTCCATCCACCGCTCAACTTCGCGCTTTCTGCATTTCTAGCCGCCATTTCTTGATTCCATCCACCGCTGGGTGCGAACATTGCTTTATCGGCGTTTCTTGCATTCATTTCTGGATTCCATCCACCGCTTGGTATAATTCTCGATTTTTCTGCGTTTCTTGCGTTCATTTCTTGATTCCATCCTCCACTAAGACCCAAGTTAGCTGCATCCGCGCTTCTCATTTCCTGATTCCATCCACCACTTGGAGTAATTTTGCTTTCGGCATTTCTTGCGTTCATTTCTTGATTCCAGCCTCCACCGGGACTAAAGTTGGCGCTCTCGGAGTTTCTAGCTTCCATTTCTTGACTCCATCCTCCGCTTGGGCCTAAGTTTGAACTTTCTGCGTTTCTGGCCTCCATTTCTTGATTCCATCCACCACTCGGTGCTAATTTCGGCGCTTCTGCACTTCGAGCATCCATTTCCTGATTCCATCCTCCGCTTGGACTGAATGGGCGGTTTTCTACGGTTCTCGAAGCCCAACCTCCGCTTGGACTAAGTTCGACGTTTCTTGCTGCCATTTCTTGATTCCATCCGCCACTCGCCGTTAGCGGATCTTGGTTCCAGCCTCCGCTGAACAGGAAGGGCATGCCCACAATTTTGTCATGTTCGGATTCTCTCGCGTTCCAAGTTCCACTCGGCGCCGCCGCTTTTTCGGGCACGGAAGTTTTGGACGGTTGCTCAGAGGAACGCGCCGAAATGTCCCATCCGCCACTTGATTTATGATTGTCGGGACCAGTTTCCCCAGTCTTTTGTTTCCTGTGGTGATCTGTATGGTCGTGTTTGTCTCCCTTGGAGTTCGTTGATAGGTGAATGTGGGTGTGTTGATTGGAATGGACGTTATGACCTAATGTGGATGGACTGGCAGTTTCTGTCTCGTGCTCTCCCATGGGATGATGGTGTGGCCCTCGGGGTCTTGGTACGTCCTTCGCGTGGTGAGGTTGATGATCCTTGGGCTCTTTCATAAACCCCGACCCATCTTTGTGTGCGATGTCTTTGGAAGACTTATCTTTGTGGTCTGCGGATCGGTAATATTCTGGTGCACCGTATGGGGCGGGCCCAGAGGAATGAGCTGGTGCTGGGGAACTGTATGCTGAGTATGCCGGTGCGTTGTATGAGGGCGCGGGAGCAGGTGATGCGTATGAGCTTTCGTAGGATGGCTCGTAGGAAGGAGCCGGTGCAGCGTAACTTGGAACGGGGGCGTAGTCGGATGATTCTCCATATGCAGCGGGAGCGCTGTATGCAGGTGCAGGAATCTTGTAGGCTGTTGGAGAACTATACGAGTAGGCTGGTTTGCTGTATGAAGCACCGTAGCTGGGCTTGGTGTATCCATATGAGGCTGGAGCACTGTAAGACGATCCATAATCAGATGATTCTTCATCCGCAGCAGGGGCGCTGTAGGCAGGCGCAGGTGCCTTGTAAGTTGTCACCGAGCTGTACGATGAATAGGCTGGTTTGCTGTACGAAACACCATAACTTGGCTTGGCGTAAGAGGCTGGAGCACTGTATGATGATCCACCATATGCTGGTGCGCTGTACGAGCTGTATGAATGTGAACCATACGCCGGAGCACCATATGCCGGAGCGCTGTACGTGGATCCACCATACGCGGGAGCGCTGTACGAGGATCCACCATATGCTGGAGCGGTGTACGAAGATCCACCATGTGCAGAAGCGCTATACAAAGATCCACCATATGCCGGAGCGCTGTACGAGGACGCCCCATATGCCGGAGCGCTGTACGAAGACCCACCATATGCTGGAGCGCTGTACGAAGACCCACCATATGCCGGAGCGCTGTATGAATATCCACCATATGCTGGAGCAGTGTGTCCTCCGTAAGATTTGGAAGGCGCATATCCACCATGTAACTTTGATGGTGCGTATGCCGCACCATATCCACCATAACTAGGCTTGCTGTAGGAAGAACCATATCCCTTTTTGACGCCGTAATACGGACTGCCATATGAGGAGCTGATACCATACTCAGGTTCGACCGCGATATACGAGGACCCTTCATAACTTGCGGAAGGGGCGTATGACGATCCATGTGACATGCCTTTACCACCATATAGTGGTTTTGATCCATAGTGCGACGGTGCTGGTGCCGGGGATACGTAAGATGGCACGCTGTACGATGAACCACCATATGAAGATGAGCCGTAGACAGGTGCCTTTGATCCATATGAGTACGCGGAATGTGAGGGAGCAGGTACACTGTATCCTCCGTAACTTGAAGGTTCTCCATACGCAGAAGACCCATAGGATGACTCTTCACCATATGTGGGTGCATTGTGGGCCGTGGGTTTCGGTTTAGCATGACCCGACGACGGTCCAGAATAAGATCTTCCATAACCATATCCATATCCACTGCCATAACCTGGGACGCTTGAAGTATATCCAGCTAATGAAGGTTGACATGTAATTACTAAGCCATTATGTCCATACTCATGATCATCTTTATCTTTCTTTCCCTTTTTAAAATGTTTTTTCTTGTCTTTATGTACGTGAGTAATATAAGTAACAGGTGCGTACGTACCGTATCCATAGCCGCCGCCATGCCCGCCGGGAGAATGTCCGTATCCACCTCCGTAACTGCCACCATAATCAGATCCGTAATAATCGTCGTCGTATCCTGATGATCGCATGTTGCCAAATTCATGTTGCTCCCCTGAGATGTCCTGTTCTAGTTCTGCATCACTATCGGACCGGTAAGAAGAATGAGAACCCGACGATCCTCCATATGATGCCTCGGGTGCCGGATAAGGCTTATGTGGTGGATTGTAGCTCGATGAACTGTGCGATCCATGGGCGACTTTCGGAGGTCCGTACGATGGTGGAGAATAAGAATTCTTTGCGGACGCGTAGCCCTTCGTGAATGATGACCCAGATCCAGAATTGTAGCTAGGTTCTGCGGGTGACGAGTAGGCGGGTGCCGGGTAGGGTGCAGATTTCGGTGAATACGGAGATGGGTAGTAACTCGGTGCGGGAGCTTGGTAGGATTGAGCGGCGCCTCCATACGATTTCGCTTCCGATTCGCAAACCTGGTACGGCTTTTGGTAGGGATCGTTGGGCCTGATCTCCACACAGAATGTAGTCGTTGCGGATTTTTTCTTCCTTGTAAATTCTTCACCATCAGCTTCTGCATTTTCTATCGGTGTTGGGGAATCTTGAGTTTCAGCCAAGTTGGTCGGAGATTTTTCTTGTTTTGCTGCGTCTTGGAGTGCTTCGGTCTCTGGCTTAGATTCTTCGTTTGTTGCCAATAACTTGGTCACTTTGTTTTGCACTTGGTCGTCCGCAACGACAAGGACGAACCCCAAACACAACAAAGCGACGAAACGCATTTTGCAGGTGCTTGGTTACTGAATGATTTGAATGGCCCCATTATGGACTATTTATTTACGTTAAACGCATGCATTTGCAGTTTTTTGTTACACCATGTAAAGTAGGACACTCAAAGTACAATTTCGAAATTTCCTTCACCTCCTTGAACGGAAAACTCAAATTCTTGGATGTTTAGAAAAAACGTTTTATGGCCATTTTGGGAAAGTCATAAGCACTCGAAAGTTTTGTTTGTAACGGCTTTATAATATAAACCTGAATAGGCCAACAATCTCATTTTTTTGTTTATGCGTTGGCTATAAGCAAACTGAATGTCCCTTACATTGGTGAAAGCTCCCTTAAGTTGCCAATTCAAATTTTCGTGTAATTTAGTTACATTTCCCCCTAAGAATTTCATCTACGATTGTAAAAACGTAAAAGAAGAGCGATGTGCTGAGTCAAAGTTATTGCGATTAGCACAGAACTGGGTCTCGGTGTCGAGCAAAGTTGCATTTTTAATTGTTACACGGAAATTTGTGTAAAAAATAGAATATTTGGTTTATTTTGGTGGTGTCCAAAACTTCCGCAATACCACAAAATGTGGTCACTACGAATAAATGCTTCTGAAGTTGAAGTGCGATGTCCCTAAACCCATTTCTGTGGTTCATAACTAAGTGTCCAATCAACACTCAAGCAGCCCCAAAAATGAGTTGTTTGAGTTCGATTTTGCGGAAAGTAGGTTTACTACATCTAAAGTAGCGTGAGCTGATTTTACAGTTACAGTCAGCTTATTATACAAATCGTGAATTGCGCAATAACATTTTTCAGTGGTCAAAGTGGGATTTATAAAATAAATTTCCCCCAAATTTAATGAAACGTCATATACCTAGGCATAAGTTGAATACCCGCTTTTCGCCCCTAAGCAAATAGCTTTTCCGGAAACTCGCCCTATTTTGACCATTTATCATGAATTTAACACACGTACAATTCTGCAACTTATGTCAATCACGTAAGGTTTTGCATCACGAATTGTACAATAGTTCGCGGTAGGTACAGAATGAGATTTAATTAGTGTTTCTGTGTCCGTCTTGATCACGCTTGATTTTTGAATCAAGCTTTCCTAAAGTTTATTCCCAAATTCCTCTCAAATATTGCTCAAATTACTTTTACTACCTACCTACTTAATTTCTTCTTAAGCGAAATTTATTGCAAAACCTACTTAAATGTCTTTTTCATAAAATTCCTCTGAACTTCGTCAAACCTTCCTATCGATCTTTTCAGGTTAATGCTAAGTTCTCCTCAACTACATCTCAAGTTTCCAAATTCTCATCATGTTCGCTCCAATTTCTTTTTAAGCATTTATTCACTTCCTTTGAGGTTTTCTTTTTCATTTGATCTCAGGTTTTCAAATTTGTCTCTATTCCCCTCGACTGTTCGCCTCAAGTTCCCTCCCTCAGTTCGTATTAAATTCCTCTCGATTCGCTGTTCCTCTCAAGTTCGTCTTAAACATTTATCGTAGTTCCTCACTTTCTTTAAGTTCCTATAATCTCTTAATAAAACAATTACATGTCGCCGTGATCTTATAATTACAATTTTCTCTAATAGGTTATCGATTTCGGAAACTCTACCTTATAATTCATCGATAATATTCCTATAAACTCCTTAATTTCCCTTCCCACTCCTCCTAAGCAAATATGTCTCCGCTAAAACCGCCCTTAAAATGTTCTCAGCTTTCTATCAAGTTCCTCTTGAGCTTTCCTCGGGATTTTCTTTATTTTTCTCAAAGCTCAATGGAAATTGTTCCACCTAGAGTTCAACTAAGTAAATACATATTAACATGCAAAAGAATAAGGGGGGCTGCATTGTGGCATCGAAATTTATTGCTCAATTTTATTTTTATATGCGAGTACACCGTCTACAGACAGAAATTTTGAAAAATGTGTACAGAATTTGAAAAAAGCATACCTTAGAGCACTATGTAATACATTAATTCCATATAATTCTATATTTTATATTTCTGTCAATACTCTTCCCTAGAGAGGAGTGAGTGGAGGAAGAGAGTCACGAACAGCTACATTTGGCAGTGTCTAGTAGTCCAACCTGTAATTACCTTTTTACATCCTCTTCTTAAAATACGTCGCGTCGTTTTAGGGAATGACACATATTGACATAAGATTATTTTCTCTTTCGGGCAGTAGATCGCTATTGGATAAACTTTGATGATCTGGACAAACAAGTTTTCAGGGGTGAGAATAGAACATTTGTTCATCACTCACCAAACTCACTCAATCCATGATTTTTTATTCATGGATAAAGTGGACATGGATAAGGTGGACGTGAGATAGTAACCAGCAAGTGCTGCTTTCCATTTCCGACATGCGATAATGGTGCAAGTGGCCTCCCGGTAGGGAGGGCACGAGGTTTGTTTACATTTCTGATGAAAGACGCTTTTTATTACTGTACTGTGTTGTCAGGAACAGTCTAGAACAGTGGCAACAATACATCGTTCAAAGTTTAATTAGTTTAATGTTGTTCACTTGGACTATTTGCGGGGAATATAGGAACAACACAAGACCAGGTAAATGATAGACACAGAATGAGTTTTGAAACTGTATCAGAAAGACCAAATTCCGTTGGCACAAAAGACAAAAAAGTGTTCTTTGCATCCAACCACTTTATGGCAATAATTCAAAAGTGAAGACAGGATAAAGTGATCAATCAATGGAGATATTCCATTACATAATAGTGTAAGCAAGTTAGCAAGAAAAATAAGAAAAAATGTATAAAGTTTTAAAATTTTCATTATGAACTCACAGTAGGGACCCAAATACAGATCCGAGCTTCTTCCCCTTTTGCCCAAAAAACCACCCCCCAATCGTGACCTAGTGATCCTTTTCGGCGTTTTGCTCGTAAACCGCAACTCTACCAAAAAATGTTATAGAACTTCTTATATTCTCCATTAAATTCTTTATAAAATGTCCCTTAGTGATTTTGCGTATCTCCTATCCAACGCTCGTAAATGACTTAGAAAATAAGTACCTATAGTTTTCAGCGCATAGAGAAAAATGAGCCCAGCGCCGTTTTTTGCGGAGATTATCACGAGAAGTGTTAATCTGCGCAAAAAATGTATACTCGTAGAATCGAAATCGAGAATCGAAAATGATCGCGAGGTCACGATTGTTCCCATGTGTAAGCGAGGTGGAAGCGCTTATGAATTCAACAAGTAATCTTTGATTTTTGATTTTTTTCCTTTTTGGCTGTAAGGCTCTAGCCTCTATACCCACTATAGAAGGTGGGGAGGAGGAAATATACAGATTTTTAGTTGTAATACAACTATCTTTTTTTTTAGCAAACATTGAAACATCTTCTTTTGGTGTTCAGTCAATCTGTACTTTATGGTTGCAAAAGGTCCGGTAGAAGATTTTATTTTTCCGACTGGTTTAAATGGTAATGAGAGAGAAAAAATCAAGTTTCCCATGCGACTGACGTGGGAGAAGTTTCTGTGGTCAAAAATCAACGAAAATGTTTGATTTTTTTAGGTTTTTCTAAAATAGTTGGCCAACGGCATATTATATAGCATCCTTGGCCAACGGCAATACTTAAACAAACTCCTTCAAAATTGTAGAGTATAACATTACCTTCAATTTGATATACTACTTGGTCCGCAGACGCAAGAAGACTACTTTTTTTAAGAAATATGATGAAGGTACATTATAAACCGGAACTGCCAAAAAAATAGGTTGTCTACTTAAAAAAATAGTCGACGTAAATTAGCAGTAAAGTGCATACGTATTAGGGGAAATAGTATATTAAGATACAACAAGATAATAAAAATGAATATTTTTTATCTTGTAGATAATTTTATTTTGCCTATTTAAAATTATCTTAATGATAAAGTTTAAACAAACTAGTTAAATTTATCTTGTAGATAAGTATAAATAGAAGAATTAAAATTATCCGCAAGATAAAAAATATTCATTTCTATTATCTAGTTGATAAAAATAATTCATATTTGATAAAATAAAATAATTATTTTTATCATAATGATAATTTTAAATCTTTTGGATGGAAATACGCTGTTTTATAGGGAAAAAGAGAGAAAGCAGCGCATAGCGCCATTTAATTTGATCTCAGATAATATTAAATGGTTGAAATAGCCATTTACAATTATCTCAGATAATTTAAAATTGCGGAATGGAATTAAAATTATCAACAAGATAAAAAGAATGATTTGAAATTATCATTTAAAATTAATTATTTAATTTTATCATTAATATAATAGAAATTCCGGCAAAACTTTACTTTAAGATTGTTGCACATTATGTTAAAACGGCGTTACATAAAATACGAAACAGAAATTTAAAAAAATTGTAGTCATATTTTGTTTTATAGCTCGTTTTGTGAAAAACAATCTGCTTGGAAGCATTTACTTATCTGTGGACGTAAAATTTCAAGATATTTATTACTGAGTTTTTATTCCTTCACTCGTGTTTGCATAAATTTTGTAGTCTTCTAATATTCTAATTTGTGAGCTTAAAGTACGATGTAGAGAACATAAATAATTTTATAAGGCACTATTTAGGTTCTATCCATTTTCCTCGCCAGGAGTAACAGTTTTCTCAAAAAACCAGTGCGACGTTACTTTAAGGGGTGGTTTTTGAACCAAAAAGGGATAAAGCACCCTCCTGAGAGGTCGGAACTCTTTGATATATATTTACTTGTGGAAGTCAGAAGTCCGTACCCAATTTTTTAACATATTAATTTTATGTCTCAAAAAACCGAATCTAAGTCGACTAAAAGTAGGCTATACTCTATAACACACTAGTGAGTACTATACCTACTTCAGAGTCTCCCCTATCTGAATTTTTCCCTGAAGTTATTCCTGACACATTGAAGCAGTAATTTCAAAGCATAAACTCGACGTGAGTAAATATAAGAATATATTTATTTATTTTTGCTCTACCAACCCAACCCAGTCTACTCAAATATCCATGCACAAACTGGAACCAGGGACCCTTATTACCGTAGTTA